GTATTGATTGATAAAACTTGTTGATTATCAGTATAAAAATTAGAATTTGTTTCATATTAAAAAAAATTATTTAATTAAGAGGACATGAAAAAGGAAGTTGTGGAAGAGAGAATAGCAGAACAGGGAATTGTAAAACAGGGAATTACAGAAGAGGGAATCATGAAACAGGGAATCGCAAAACAGGGAATCGCGAAAGAGGAAGCTGTGGAAGAGGGACAAGTCACGAAGGTCAACGTGATAATAAATATGAGACAAGTGTCGAACCTTCTACTCAAAGTATTGAACCCAATGATTCTTATTCAAATTATGAAAAAGAATTTGAATCAGTTAATGATAAAGAAACTAAGACTTGTAAAATTCTACATTTTAATAAATTTACTATATTACTAACTTAAATGTATCGAATACAGTACAAGCATCATCACTAAAAACTGCAAGTCACTCAAGTTGTAACTTAACAGCATCAAGAGTCTTAAGTTATTGAATTATTTCATTTCATTTTTTAGAAATAAGCGATTTGCAATTGTAATTTATAATAACTGCTAAATTTATCTTTAATCTTTTTAAGATCAAGGAAGATTTGCAATACCATTAATGTCAACTTACGAAATCATAGCAGATTCTGAATATTCTACCATCTCAGCTACAGAATTATCTGTTAATAATCGAAATAAAAGTAGCCACCAACTGCAAAGTACATTGACAGTTTCAGGTTTGCTTCAAATGTTTGATAATGACAATAGTGATGATGATACTAGTATGTATTTTAATATTTAATGTTGTTTTATAATAAACATTTTGTTCTAATATTTTAATTATAAATTCATTTAGGCTACTATGAAGGGAATTATAAAAAACCAACAAAGGGCAAGAAAAGACAAAAAAATAATGACAACGAAGATGAAGACAACAATGAGACTGCCCAATCTCTTAGAAAAAGGAATGGTAAGTTAGACTCAGATTATATACTATTGATTATTTATTATTTATTAAATGAATTTTTTTTATAAATACAGGAAAGCCCGAAGCTCTGAAAGACATGACAAACATTTTTGAAGTTTGTTAGTAGTTAGTTCTAGAAAGGCCAGATATATTAATAACAGCAAACCAAATGCGTGCTATGCAAATGTCTTTAGATTTGTCTGCTGTTACAGTTCCTCAGCCTAAAGTAACTATAGCACCAAGAAACCTTACTGATGATAAAGTACTGTATTTTTTTAGTTAAACAGATCTCTTGCAGTATAGGTTACACTTGTTCTAAATCAATTGATTAATATGTAATACATTTATTAATAGTGTCACTTATATTGTAAGAGATCCAATTAACCTTATCTAATGTAAAAATTAAATTTGTAAATTTTATTATATAGAGTCTTGCTCGGCTATGGCATGAAGAAATGACGTGTCTTTTTCTTAGATGTAGAAACCCACCAGATGGAGCCATTGAAAGCCTTATTACTGAAATATTTAACTATGAACTTTATAGTAATGAAGCTGTAGAAATCATTTGTCATTCAAAGTGAGTGTTTACAGATTTTCGCAGCAAATTCAACAAAAGTATAGCTGAGTTAGTACATGAATTTAAGGAAAGGAAATTAGGAGAACAAATATCAACACCATCAAGATTGGATATCAATGAATTCATAACTCATAAAGTTGGTGAATGCTTATTAAAAAGATATATGAGCGATACTAATAAAGATAAGCTCAGGAGGTGTAGAACAATGGATACACTCATTAAATTAATCAAAGAGGCATTTAAAATATTTTTTATCACTTACAATACGAAAGCAATTAAAAGACTTGACAATCTTACGATAGGATGCAGAATTCCGAGTAAGTTTGGTAAAAACATAGCATCAAGGATTTCAATTTCTCTTACAAATAGTAGTGATAGCAATTATATCTAGAAAGTGTTTAGTTTCTTTTCTTATAATACTTAAGCATTTACATTTGATTTATTCTGTATGAAACATTAGAGCTTGATTGATTATATGTATGCAGTTATGATGCAATGAAGATTTATATATAGTAATATTACAGCACTTTATTATTAGCCTACACAAAAAATGGCTCAGTATTAGTGCTACGCTTTATGTCCAAATCTGTTTATGTTTCTAATTCTGTATATGCTGGTTATACTAATACAGGAAAAGTTCTGTTTTTTTATAAGACCCTAGCATCACCAACTTAAAAAATTTCACTAAAAAAAATTTCGCAGTTAAATTAAAATTAGATTTTGCTATTAAGTTAGGTTAAAGAAAGTTTTCCTAATACTAAAATTTCGTAAGGAAAACTTTTTGTTAATGCGCAGAAAGCAGTTTTATAGGTAAAATATTGATTTTTTGCATTTTTTGTATTATACTGGATCTTGAATTCTGATTGGCTAGCGAAATAGTAGTGAAATTTTTTAGAGTAGTGATGCTAGGGAGGTTGTAAGCTACGGGCATTGTTATTACAGCACAATAAATACCAATATAAAAAAAAACCCTCTAGCATCACCATTTTAAAAAATTTCATTACTATTTCGCCAACCAATCAGAATTCAAGATTTGGTGTAATATGAAAAATGCAAAAAATCAAAACAAACCAAAAAATCAACATTTTACCTATGAAACTGCATTCTGCACATTAACAAAAAGTTTTTCTTGCGAAATTTTGGTATTAAAAAAACTTTCTTTAACCTAACTTAATAGCAAAACCTAACCTTAATTTGACTGCGAAATTTTTTTTAGTGAAATTTTTTAAGTTGGTATACCACAAAAAAAATTTTCCAGAATATGATTTTTAACAAATTAGGCTGAAGGATCAGTTGTAATGTAAAAATCATGCAATTTCAAAAAATCGCTAAATAACTCAAAATTTTGTCATTTAAATTGCCTTCTGCATTCTAGCAAAAAAATTCTTGTGAAATTTTGGTATAAATTATGTCATTTATTGGCCTTAATTATTATCCTAAAGATGTAGTTTATTGATTCAAATCTTTCAAATTCAATTGTTTTGTTATACTTAATACATCAATCTAATTGGCTAAAAATCACATTCGGAAAATTTTTTTATAAGTGAATTACAAGAATAGCAATGATTTTGCAAGTGCAAAGAGCCTTAATATTAAATTTTACTAAGCCAAATTTTTTGCATACTAAGTACTAAAAAAAATAGGATAATATTAGTGGTTAATGTTAATTAAAGAAAATTATAAATAATAATTGATTGTTCTTTCTATTATTTTATGTAAATAAGTAAGCTGATACACTCTATAGAAAGACTTTACATTATTTATACAGTTTAAAGTACTTTTTTTTAAAAAAAAAATTATGAAGAACAAACAAAAAAGAAGTATATAGAAAGTTTTATTAAGGTTGTAGGATTTTAGTATTAAAAATAATTAAAATCATTTCTGGTTTTAGAGAAGTTAGCATAGTAATAACCTAATTCTATCTATCTTTAAGAAGCCACTATTATGCTAACTTTTTTAAAACCAGAAATGATTTTGATTATTTTTAATATTAGAGTCCTACGATCTTAATAAAACTTTCTATATACTTCTTTTTTGTTTATTCTTTGTAGTTTTTTTTTAAAACAGTACTTTAAACTATAT